CCTCTGCGAGCCCCTCTCCTGCCTGCCTGCGTCTCCGGCGGCCCGGCCCGTCCGCCTGTCCGTCTGCGCGTGCACTCTGCCCCGTCCGGCGCTGGCCTCTCCCCCACGGGCCGCCTCTCCGGAATTGCCTGTCATTGCTCTGCTCCCGTCTCCGGCCGTCTCTTCCCCGTGGCCGTTCTCCCGTGTCTCCCTGGACATCATTCTTCACGTCTCCGTCTGTCTCCCTCCGTCTGTCTCTCCGGAGCCGTCCCCTCCCGCCTCGCGGCCTGTCTCCTGCTGCCCCTGCCCCTCCCGCCCCACAGTCTGCGCCCAGGTGGGCCCCTGGCCTCCCCTGGGCCCCTCCCTTCTCCATTCCAAAGAGGGGAAACTGGGGCGGCTGCTGCTGCTGCTTGGCGGAGGGGCAGGACTGGAGGGTGGGGAGGCAGGTCAGGGCCTGTGGGGACCGAGGCCCAGGAAAGGAAGGAGCCCTCGGCGGGCCGCGCAGGCGCCCCAGCTGGGCGCTCTGGGCTCCCCTCCGCTGACCGGCCTGCACTCCCCTCTCCGGCCACCCAGGCCCCGGGAGCAGCCTCTCCTCTCGGCGGCGGGGCACTTACTGGCTGCTGTGCTGGCCTAGGTCCCAAGCTGGCGGATGGACGGATGGACGAGCGCCACCTCGGCTTCCTGTCTCCTGGCTGGCCTGTTATCAACTCGATCTCCTCCCTGCGGCTTGCCCTCCTCTCTCCCCCAACCAGCTGTGGAGCAAGACAGTGGGCCAGGCCGTGGCCCTGGCCTCAACCCCGGCCTGCCTCTTCCTACCCAGGTGACGTGACAGCGGGCTCCACCCTGCCAGGCTCAGTTTCTTCATCTGGGAAATGGGGGAGCTGGCCTGAGGGGGCTGTGGGATGAGGACTACTCCAGGGGACCACAGCACATCTGGGCTCCGCAGACGTGCCGGCAGCCGGCTCATTCTCTCCCACCTCAAGCTCCCCCTCCACGCGCTTGGGGAGAAGGCCGGACCCATGGTGAGCGGGGGGGCATTTTAAGACCCTGGTTGGGCCCTCTCGCTTCCCAAGACTGCACCCCACCCTCCACCCTTGCAGACATATTAAACCCACAAATACCACCCCCTCCCCGCCCCCCATTAAAAATGTTTGTGCTCCCGATTCCAGCAGTGCCAGGGAGCAATTGGCAAGTCCCAAGAATGTTACATTTTATAGCCATTTAATTAAATGGTCATGAATTTTGATTTCCACTGTTTCCTTTGTTATTTTGGGAGCCAATCATTTCCACCCCCTCGGGTCCTTCCTGGGCTCTGGAAAAGTTCTTGTTGTACTGGGTGGAGAAAAAGAGCCCTTGCTTTCACTGTTAATAGTCAGTTTCCCTCCTCTATTCCTGTGTGACCCTCTGGGGAAACATCACCCTCTCTGATCTCTTCCTACGGCTCTAGGTAGAGGAGGAAAGGGATGCACGCTGGTCCCCAGGGGCCTTGGGGTCATGGAACAGACGTCACTCCTCTCCCAGTTAGGTCATCGTGTTTATTCCATACATTTCCCCAACCACAGGTCTGTGTTTAAGGGCTGAAGGGGTCCGGGCTTCAGCAAGGAAGAAGGCTCCAGACCACGAAGGCGGTGACGATGTGGAGACATTGGTGCTTCGAGGGGCAGCGTGGCTCCCAGGCTGGAGGCGGTGGGAGAGGTCAGTTGTTCCTCATGACCGTCTTGATCCAGCCCACATAGTTGCAGATCTTGGTGTAGACGCCGGGGATGCCGTCTTGTCCGCAAGGCCCCACGGACCCCCATGACACCAGGCCCTGAAGGACGCCGTCACACACCAGGGGACCCCCAGAGTCACCCTGGAAGGCAGAAGGAGGTCTGAACGGGGGGACACGCTGTTCTGCGTCTCCTCAGCCCCTGCTGCCCTGGTCAGGGCCTTGAGGTTGGTGAGCAGGAAAAAAAGCACAGGCAGCTTTCCCAAGGTCCAACATCATAGCTGGCCAATAGGGAGGAACACTCTGCCCCTAAGAGCCAATCGCAGGAAGGAGGGCGGGGCTTCATGGCCATTGGCCAATGAGGGAAGAGCACTCATCAACATCCTCATCATCAATGACCAATTCTGGGGAAGGAAGGCGGGACTCCACCCAGGTAGAGGGTTCCCTCAGGACAGTGGCCGGGCCCTTGACCAATGAGGAAGAGAGCACGCACCACAGTGACCAATCCTAGGAGAGGAGGGCGGGGCTCCATACAACACTGTCAGGAGCAATGGCTGGACCGCTGCCCTGGAGGGTGAGGCCCCAGGAGGGCCAGGTAGCCTAACCCTGCCCCTGCAATCCCTCCCTCTCTCCGCCTGGCCTGCTTCGGGCCTCCCCTTTTTCTGACTCCATCCTCTCACCTGCCCCCCTCAGCCGGCCCCTCCCCCTCCTCCACCCCCTGCTTCCGGTCCTGGCTGACCTGGCCTGCGCTCACCTGGCAGGCATCTGTGCTCACCTGGCAGGCATCTGCGCCCGCGACGCCGCCCGCACACACCATGTTGCCGGTGATTCTCCCGGGGAACACGTCCTGGCAGGTGGTGTCGGGGACGATGGAGAGGCTGAGGCACTGCAGCCGGTCCGGGAATGGGCCTGGGGGCGGAAGTGGCCGCTGCAGGCACCCCCAAGGCTCCCCACCTTGAGACCACCTCTCTCTTGTCCAAGAAGCCTGGCCCTAGCCTATACCTCCCCTTCTGTGGGATCCTTTCTAGGGTCCTCCAGCCTGTAAATTAGTGGTTTGTCTTCAGGGTGACCCTCAACCCCAGCTCAGGAACCCAGTCCCCTTTTGGGTGATAAAATATGAATTTGAATTAATGTTAACCTGTTACTCTGAATGCAGTAATTCACAATCCTTGTCTCTCCAACCTCAGGTACAACCGCAGCTCCAGACCTAGCCTCCTCCCACCTTGGATGCCACGACCTTTGACCTTTGACATATTACCCTGTGACTGCAGTTTGACCTCGAGTCTCTCCTGGTCCCGAGATCCCTGTCTTTGCTTTGGCCTCCCACCTCTGCTCTGCAGCCTCGGGAGCACTGGTCGACCCCAGTCACCTCTGACCCTAGTTCATGGACCCCGGTTCATGACCTCTAATCTCTGTATCTCGGAATCACAGTCCAGTGAACCCCAGCTGAACCCATTTCCACCTCAGATTTTGACCGGTTGTGTGACATCCAAACTGGATGAGCTGCAGCCCCGCCGTGACCTCTGAGGCCAGAGTCGGGGCCCAGCCCCCTCAGATCCCGCTCCTCCCCGCTTTCACCACTTTCTGCCTGCCATCACTGACTGCTGACCGCACCCTGACCCCCGATTCTGCCTCCACAGCCCACCGGTAGCCACACTGGTCCCCAAGGCCCCCACCACCATGGTCCGTGACCCCGACCCTGCCCCAGTGTGCCTCCTCACCCCTCCCTCCTGCCCTGCCCTGGCCGCTGGGACTCCCGAGCCAGCCCCTTACTCCACGGGTGGTTGGTGGTGCCCCAGCCCGAGATGTGGCAGCGGGTCCCGGCCTCCACGCAGGACGTGGGCAGGGGCAGGGGCTGGACACTGTGGGTGATGCGGATGGGCAAGCCCAGCCGCAGGAGCCGGAGGTCATGGTCGTGGCTGTGCTGGGCCCCGTGGTAGCCGGGGTGGGTGGCCGAGAAGCCGCTGCGCCGGATCTGCTCTGTCCAGTCCAGCCCGCTGAGGCTGTGTTCTCCCAGGCGGACCCAGTACCTGCTGGAAGGGATCTACGGCTCAGCGGGCCGCAGGCCAGGGGCCTCCTGCCCTCCCGGGTCCTCTGGCCTCCTCCGTGTCCCTTTGAGACGTCTGTCCCCTTTCCCCTGCCTCCGCTGCTTTCTGAGGCTCTGAGGTGATCCCAGGGCTGGACCAACTAAGCATTCAGGGCCCACTGCCCAGGACCCCTCCTTTTGCAAAGAATCCAGAATGTCCAGCCTAGAAGCCCTGTCCCTTCCTGCCGCGTGCGTCCCCTAGAAGCACCAGGCTGGGTCGGGCAGGCTGGGGCTGGTGACAGAGGCCACTTTTGGCAGGAGGGAGCCGAGAGGGAATGGGGGTGGGCAGGTTCCAGGACCCTCCCGCCCCCAGCCCCACCCAGACCACTTACCTGCCGTTGCAGTGGGCAGCAGTCAGGACCCACCTGCGGTCGATGAGGACGCCCCCACAGCGCAGCTGAGTCCCCTCAAACAGCCCCACCTGCCAGGGCTGCGAGTGGGGGACACACTCTGTGCCGTTAAAAATCTTCTCTATGGCCGCCTGGCTGAGCCCTGAGGACAGGTGTGGTCAGGGAGCGGGTCAAAGGCGAAAGAGACGACTGAGGTGGGAGACCCCGAGGGACAGTACAAGGGACACAGCAGCAGGGGAAGGTGAGAGGGAGCCGGTGACAGGTGGGGGAGGGAGACGGAGGGGGAGGATGAAGGAGATGCAGAGACTCTTCAAGCAGGAAGGAAACAGGTTCAGCAGGAGCAAGGATGGTGGCCAGAGAGGCGGATGGAAGGAGCCCCGAGGGCGAGGGCGAGGGCGCGAGGGGCGTGCAGGACCCCTGGGTTGCAGGGAGCAGTCAGTCACCCCCTCCCGCCCGCCTCAGTTCCAGGCTGAGGCCAGAGCTAGACAGGAAGATGGGGGCCCCTCCCCCAGGGAACTCACCAATCACACACAGCAGCAGAATGATGCTGAACCCCATGGCAGGCAGCCTCCGAGGTCTGGGGAAGGTGGGGCGTCTCAGGGATGGCCCTTCCCTGGCAAGCGCCCCCTACCCTCCCAGCGCCCCCGCCGCCGCCCCCTCTCTCCCAGCCACCCCTCACCTCCTCTCTCCACCTGCTGGGTCCTGCATGGGCCACTGCTGCCTGTCCGTCAGTCCGTCCGTCCGTCTGCTCGGCCACCCTGGTCCTCCGGGTCGCTCAGCCACCTGTCATGCTGCCGGCCCGCCCCCTCCTTCTGTGAGCCTCTCTGCCCCAAACGGCGGCTGACACAGCTTTTAACTCTTTGTCCCGGCCCATTGAACTTCCGGGTAGAGGGAAGGGGACCAGGAAGACACGGGGTGGGCGGGGCACCCACTAATCCCCACAAACTCTCAGCAGCTAATGAGCTTAATTGAGCTGGGGGAAGGGGCCGGAAGCTCGGAAGCTCCGCGGGGAGGTCCCCGCAGTCCCTGTCCCCCTCCCCAGCCAGCCACGACACAGTGACTCAGCCTGGCCTGGGAGCTGGGTTCTAATCCCCGACTCCAGGGACAAGGCTGGCAAGGGTGGGGTGCTGGCAGCTGGGCCTCTCCCCGGCCAGGAAGGTGGAAGTGAGAGGAGCGGGCAGAGGCCGGGAGGGAGAGGCTGCCTAGCAGGACCTCAGGGAGAGCCGGGAGAGCCGGGCAGTTCCAGACTCAGGGCCACTGAGTTCCAGTGCAGTGGGCCCTCATCTTGGAGGACTTTGGGGAGGCGCAGCATTCCGGAGGGGCCTGTCTAAACCCAAGGTGGCCTTTCTCTGCACAAGAGATTCCGCGGGAAAGAGGGGTGAGGTTGGAGGTGGGGGGTGCGCCGGCCAGGTCCCTGCCCCTGGCTGCCAGCTCCGGGGCAGGAGAAGCAGCGGGGTGATCCGACACAGACAGCCGGGGAGCCCCCTCCCCGCTCAGTCTCCCTCCCTGACACGCCCCAGTCAGACCTTCCCCTCTGTGGGTCTGGGGGCTCTTGTTGGCTGAGGTGCAATTTACACGGGAAATTCCTCCCGCTGGCATTGGGCTCTGCGGGTCAAATCCTCTGGTTTTCAAAGGAAGCTGGAATTCAGATTTTTGGTGGAACAGTTCCTGTCTTTAAAGTACTGACCGAAAACCCACCCGAACAGCCGTGGGACCAACCCACTCCCTCTGCCTCCTTCCCTCTCTCCCGCCCTCCCTCTTTCTTTCTTCCTTGATCTTTTATTTGAAGTACAATCCACATCACATAAAATCCAGCATTTGAGTCATCCTAAAGTCCATCAGTCAGTGAATTCCACTGCACTTACATCACTCAACCTTAAAAAAATCCCACTAAGTGAAAAGAAACCACAAGGACCAGCAGCTAGCACCTCCTTGGTGTGACCCAGGGGGTGGCAAATTCTCAGAGGGGCGGGTGACGGGGTGGGGGTGCGGGGCATGGCTGCTGACTTGGATACCCAGACCTCAGCCTGTGGCTTCCAGATAGAGGCAGTTCCTTCTTTACGTAGGTCAAAGAGGGCAAAGACTGCCTCACGCTTTTGCCCCCCCCCCCAAGCCCTCAAGTCCCTATGCCTCAGCCTCCAGCCTTGGCATTGTCTTAAGGGCCATAGGAAGCCCAGTCTCTGCACAGAACTCAGCCTCCCAGACGTCAGATGTCGAAACGGAGCCACAGCACACCTAGGTGAAGTCACCTGCCCCCAGTTACACCTGGCAGGTGGCAGGACTGGCGCTTGATCCCAGGCGGGCTGACTCCAGGTAGATGAATGAACAGTGGGTAGCCGAGTGAGTGCAGGTGGAAGCAGGCGGCTGCAGGAATGTTCCCTTGGGCTGCAAAGGAATCCTACAGACCCCAGCTCCTAGAGGGGGGCGTGGGGGGGCATCTGAGCCCTTGCTCTGGTCTCAGCTTGGTCATCTGGAAAATGGCTAGAGGATGGCCACTGTCCACACACTGTTTCCTCTCAGGACCATCACACGGGGACGCGAAGTTGGGCAGGGAGAGCATGTGTGTCCAGAAAGGACACTTGTGCCTCTTCAGTTCATTTCTTTATAAAGAAGGAACTTCCAAAACTGAGATGTCAGGATCGCTCTCACAGAAATGTCAGCTGTGCTCCTGTCTTCTCTGCTGTCTTTACACACTTCTGTCATTCTGTTACCCTGTCTCATCCATCCACCCAACACCCACCCACCCGTCAGCATCCATCCAACATCCATCCATCAGCTTGTTCATTCATTCATTTGCTTCCGTCCATTCACGCACTGAGCACTCAGAGAGGTCCTGTGTGCCCGGCCCTCTGACCCTTTGCTGGGTGTCTGGGCCACAGCGTCTAGCCAGAGCCAGCTCCACGCCCCTCCGTTTCTTCTGTGCCCCAGCAACACGTCTGTGAAGATCTACTCACAGCTTGCGTCCCACAGCCATGTCTTTCTGGGCCTCTGGGGATGTCCATGTTGGTCCCCCCCTCTGTCTGCATCTTGCTTAACCTTTCAGCAGGCGCTGGACATGGCCTCCCTCCTTGAAACTCGCTCCTCTCCTGGCCTCCGGGGTTTCGTCAGTTCTGGGTCCTCTCCCACTTCCCAGCTGCCTTTGTGAATAGACCTTTCTTTCCCCTGCCCTGGTGGGTGTCTGTACAAACAAGGGTGTTCCCGGCGCCTGGTCCGAAGCTGTGCTGACTGCACACCTGGCCGTGTCACCTGTCACCCCGGGCAGGATGGCTCTCAGGTCTCCTCTGTCCTGCATCAGCCTCCAGGCCAGCCAGGCAGGGCTCACCATCTGCCCCACCCACCTATTCTCAGATCCCACGAGCTCTATCTTGGCCTCAGCAACCCAGCCCCCAGGCCAGCCCCCCAGGACACGATGTCTCTAGGGAAGAGTCCCTTTCTTGTGAAGTAAGCCGCCTATTTGCAAGGCCCAGCCGCCGCCCACCGCTCTGGTCTCTGTCTCCTGAGCTCCTGGCCGCCTCCTCATGCCCCACCTCCTGGATGCCCCCGGACCCAGCTCAGCAGGCTCTGGGTGAGCTCAGCAACCTACCTCAGCCCCCCCAGGCTGAACCCAGACACTTGTCCTTCCTCTTCCCAGCCCTGTTAATCCTGCCCCTCCCCCCTGCCCACTTGGACCTTCTCCCCTGCTCCTGGACCCTCACCCTGGCCTCCTATCTCCAGCCTCCTTCACCCTCCGCTCACCTGGAAGCAGTTTCCACATCTGGAGGCACGTTGCTCCTCTCCTGCTCTTAACAGCCTGCTATGGCTCCCTAATGACTCCTGGGTTTTCCTCCAGGGTTCCAGAGGCTTCTAAGACCCTCGGGATTCCCTGAGTGGTCAGGTGTAACTAGCATCCTTCCTCATTCATAACATCCTTTGAACACTTACACTTTCTGAGTTAATGCCAAGGAGGCACCTTGGGGGTTGGGTTGTGAGGGGAGCCCACTGCGGGATCAGAAGGTTGGAAGGGAGAGTGTGGTGGGGAGGTCCAGGCTGAGCGGCCCAGTAAGGGCCCCCTGAAGGGCCCTGGCCCTCCTCAGTCCCGAATGGCTATGAATTGGAACTTTTTTTGTGGAAGAACAGGGTACAGGCCAGAGGTGGAGTGAGAGGATTCACCACAGACAGAGAGGGGAGCAGAACAGGCGGATCCACTGAACACACTGCTGAGGGGAGCAGCGGGGACCAGAGAGGTCTGCTGTGCCCTGGGGGTCACTCCCTGGCCAGGGATTGAACTCAGGCCATCGTTATGACAGCGCTTAGACTTCTCCCCTAGGCCACCAGGGAGGCCCCGAATTAGAACCGACTCTGGGTGGCTAACCTGGGAGCCGGGGCTCCCCAGGCCAGCATGGGCAGTGGTGGGAGAGAAGGACCCAGGGCGGGGGTCCTAACGAGGCAGTTTATTAGCCAATGGTGGGACTGGAACCCGCCATCCCTGACAGAGGTGCCTGCGGCCCCGGGGCTGCTGGGTCCACCGGAGCTCGAGCAGGGTTTCCCGCTTCAGCGGCCCTGGCTCGTCCAGCCTTCCCGGTTTCTCACGGAGCGTCTGTGGTCTGTAGGTCGAGGGTCCGGGCACTTTGTCCTAATGCATCCGGGCTCCCAGCGTGGACTGGGCGTACAGAGTGGTTTTTTCCCTCTTTCCCGCCCCGTTGGAGAATAAGGGTTTCCCGGGGGTGTGTGGGACCCCCAGCGGGACCCTCAGCCCCAGAAGGCCGCCCCGCCCACGCCCAGGGGCTTGGCTTGCTGGGGCCCTGGCCCCTTATACCTGGCGCTGGCTCTTAGCTGGACCAATGAGGTGCGAGCAGAGTGGACCAATCATCAGCTCGCTAGTTAATTATTCAGCGCCAAGCGGGCTGATTGGCCCGAAGGCCGTCCAATCGGAGGTTCGGCAAGGGGCGTGCGAGGCTGGACTGCTGCGGAGCCCTGGCCTGGCGCTGGCCCCGGACCCTGAAGGAGGAAGCGGGGCCTCGCAGAGGTGGGGTGCCCGTCGGGGCTGTCTCTGCACCCCCTGGGAGCACCAACCCGGCCTGCGATGGCCGAGCTGTGTGTGGTCTGTGCGCCCCAGGCCCCGGCGGGCGGCGCCAGCTTGGCCGAGCGGCCATTGTTTGGGGCGCCGGACCTGGGCACTGGGTGGGCGGAGCTGGCCGCCGCCGGTGGCCTCGCCTCCAGCGCCTGTTGTTGGGCCGGGAGCCCCAGTGGTCTTGCGGTTGCGGCCAGCGGGCCGCAGTGACGGTCACATGGGCAGTGGACCTGGATGTCCACAGCCCCCACCCTGTCTGCACTCCCCGGCCTTGTCTCCCTGGACTTGTCTGCTCAGGCGGGAGGGAGGAGTTCTGCAGGAACCCTTGGGGAGCAGGGTTGGCCTGGCCTAGGTGGGGGTGCTGCACCCTCTCAGATCAGGGGTGGTCCCCGCAGGCCATGGCAGGCCTCATCCCAGTGTCCATGGCGGGGGCACCCCAGAGGTGGGAGGGGCCCTCGGGGTGAGTGGGCAGGGAACTTGGGATGGGAGCGTACACATTGTGGGGTGATCTGTAGGTCCCTCCACGCCCCACCGGGGCAGCCCTACCTGGGTCTTCCCCCCGCTCCCCTCCCTGTGTGCCCTGTCCCTTTCACCGGAACCTGCTGGAACAGAAGCTGAGCTTCGGGGCCTGGCTCCCTCCTGTCCTGGTGATTTAGGATGAGTGTTTGGTCTTGGCCCTCCTGGCACAGGCCCCTGAAAATTCCCCATATCCCAGGGTCACAACTGACCATGTCAGGACAGCTCAGACCCACCTCAGGCTGGGGG